CCTCAAACCTTTTACTGTTCAGAAAAGAAGGCTCCATGTCCAAAGAGGACCCTGTGATCTTGTGGTTTTTTACATGCTAATGGAAAATTGTAGGTTGAAGGGGAGATAATGATACTGTGTCTATGGAGCTGTAAGTAGGAAGGAAGAAGCTACCCACATAAGCTGTTTGGGAAAAGCTCAAGAAAATCTGTGGGATTTCACCTGCAAAATCGAATGACAAAAAAAATCATCCCCTCTCTTTTTATTAACTTTGTCTTCTGTGCCATTTCTGATAGACTTTATCCTCCTAGGCAACTGTTTTTCTTTTGATTATAAAAGCAACATATGCTCATTATAAACAGTTTGAGAAAAACAGAAAAGGATGAAGTAAAAGTGATTATCTCACTAGCCAATGGTAATCATAATTTGATTCATTTTCCTATTCCCTATGCTCATACATCTATAGGTATGAATGTGAACACAAAAGTATTTTAATAGGTACAGATATTTTAATGTAATTGAGCACATTTTCTATATACTATTTTTAAATTCCTACTACAGAAGGAGAGCCTGAACCTTTTCCTTTTCTTAGGAAAGTGCTATAACCATTTATCCAAGAAATAGGACTAAAGGCATCTAAGAAGTTTAAATATGGATTTTTTTTTTTTAAGAGGCAAGCTTTATTTATTTATTTATTTATACATACAAGCACTGGGTACAGTCAGAAGCGCGGAAGGGTGAGAGAATTCACCAGAGCCAGAGCGGGGAGCAGAGCAGGCAGAAGGACAGAAGTACACTGCTGAGGGGAGCAGCGGGTGGCAGGAGAGGTCTGCATGCCATGTGGGACCCTCCTCCGGTGGCCGGGGAGCAGCTGGGGATCAAACCGGCACTGCAGAGACTGCGGGCAGCTTCGCAACCCAGCGTTCAACCGCTGTACTACCGGGGAGGCCCTAAATATGGAATTATTAATGGGCGAAACTAAATGTGTAGAATGTGCTTTAAAAGGTTTTAGGGGGATGGCCCTCCTTGGTGGCCAAGGGATTAAAGTCTCAGCACTATGAAGCTATTGGCAGCAAGAGTTCGATCCCCCGCCAGGGAGCTAAACCCAATGGCACAGCAGACCTCCCCTGCCTGGCCTGCTGCTCCCCTCAGCCGTGTATTTCAGTAGATCTGCCTGTTTTGCTCCCCACTCTGTCTCTGAATTCTCTCACACCCCTACCCACACCTCTGGCCTACACCCAGCTCTTATATGCATAAATAAAATAAATTTTAAAGAAAATATATTCTAGGGGGGAGATTGTGGGGTAGGATAGATGAAAAAGTTAAAAAATACTAGTTAAGTACTGAAGGTGGATGATTAAAACATGGGTTCAATATACTGTTCTCTATTTTTTGGTATGTTTGACAAAACCCATATTAGTTTTTTGGTTTTTTAAAATATTTTTACAGAAGAGGCTATCTAATACATCCATCACTCAGCACTCCTGTAGACAGTTCTTACCGGGGGAAAAAAAAAAACACCTTTTTAAAGTCTACAATTAAATCAAAGAATCAATCTTCCAAAGAAGCTTCTAACTAAGACAGGAAAGATTTATCTTAGAGACCATCAAGAAACATGCACTAGCTGATTACTCATGCCACAAATTCTAAGTGGCTACTGAAACACTAACTCTGAAATATTATTAATTGGAGCTACTTACCAAAACTAAAACCAGAAAAACAGCCCCAGAACCACTGGGATTGTCTTCAGAATTCTGAATAGAAATTTTATAATTTACAGCATCTCTGGCAGACCCTACAACTGATTAAACACTTCTTCCTAATAAGCAGAATTAGTACTTACTTATTCTTTGGAGAATCTTTTATTATTAATTTAACTAACACTCTTTAGGGAAACAGAAAACTGTATTTCTACAAAATTAAATGTTTGTTTACTTAAATACAAAATTGAACTATCTCCTTTTTCTACATTAAAAAAAAAAAACTGTGAGAGATGCAAAGCACTTAACTACTAGTTAGTCTACTTGTACGGCAGAGAAATTTCCTTAATAATTTTTAAAATAATCAATGAATTATATTTAATAAACAGGTTCTTTACGTAACTGAATCATAGATACAAATGTTCTTTGTTCTCTCAATCCTATCCAAATACTAAAGAAATCAAAGACAAAAATTGCTTAATTATATAAATTAAAAACAAAATAATTTATAATTCATAAGAATAAGGTGCAATAGAGACTGATAATGAAGAGTCTAAATTGCAGTCCTAATATTCTGCACTAACTAACTAGAATTTCTCAAAATTTATTTTCATTCAGGCCAACAAGGATTTATTGATGGTCTGCAACACATGAGATTTTGTGAAAACGTCAACGAACAGTATAGGAAAGATCTCTGTCCCTCTGAAAGGATTAAACAAGAAATTGTAACAAAGTAGGGTGGGTGGTATCATAGGAAAAGAAGACCAAGGCGCTGTCTGGTTATACAAACCTAGAAACACCCTTAATGCCTCTCTTTGCCCACCTGCCAAAACAGTCATCACTCTCACACTGACTTGCCATTTAAAGTCTCCACAACTCCACCACTCACACTACAAAATCCCAGCCACCATCCCTATCTTTCCTGGTGCTTTGACTAGTTTTCCAGTCAGATAAACTCATGTGCTCTGCTCCCTCCCCACTTGGTTCACATGTTATAGTCAATATAAACTTGAAAATGTAAATCTGATGAGCTACATCAAATGAAATTCTTCAAACCCCTACTCATCCTTTCATACTTAATCCAAAAGTTATTTCCTGAAGAAAGGTTTTCTTTAATTATATTCTCTAATAGAGTGTGATAATGCTATGCACTTCTTATATAATAGAGGTACATAGGAATCCGAGGAGGATTCAAGTTATCAGAAACAATGATGGGTAACTTGAAGGAGGAAGGAAAGTCATGTGGAGAAGAGGAGGGCACGGAAATGAAAAATTGGCTTGCCCCTTTTCTTCTCACCCCAGGGCATATACATATTAATATTGTAGTTGCTCACTGTATATTTGAACTAAACGATAACTACCTTTCCCTTAAAACAAACTCAGCTAATATACCAATTTGGAAAAACAGATTAAAAACATGCCCTGCACAACTGGTATTTACACAGCCAAAGAGGATATGATCTAAAAAGGATACCATCTTGTTGGAATTTTAAAAGAATTCTTTTACACAGATGTTCCATGTTTGTTGCCCCACTCCTCCTTAGTATTGATAATAGAGAGTAAATGTACACAGTAACAAATATTTTCATTGATATTTTAATGTCTGAAAGCATCAAAATTATAACCTAATGATTCTTATTATATTCAAATCATCAGTTATACTCTTGTTTGCTAAAAATATAAATAAAACACAACAAATATACTAAAATATCTTGGTTTTAATAAAAATGTACATTAGATATTAAGCAGCTCAATTATTATAAATTTCAAGAAACTAGAAGTAATACCTTTGAGGCTAATATTCCATGTCACTAGAGAACTGTGAGTTTATTTTTCCACTGCCTGGCAAAACTGTCAAATGCTGTCCACAGAGAGTAGCAACATAAGCAAAGATACTCTAATCACAATGAGCACACCCATCATCTAGAGCTTGGTTTCTAAATATCATTCTCCAATAAAAGGAAGCAGATTCCTTGAAAAATAGTTGACTCTAGACATGAGCCTGGAACGGTAAGAAAATGCCCCTCCAAAAAGGTTGGGGAGTTCTTAGGAGAAAACAGAAGTCAACATGAAGAAAAGCTAGAAAAATCTAAACAGCAAAATAATTTTAAATCATAGAACAAAATAGCCACAACTCCATAGTAATAAACCAAAATTATCTTCCCAGTTTTGATAATTTTACTAGGGTTACACTATATGGTTACCTAGAAATGTTAACACAAGGTGAAGCTAGGTAAGTTGTATACAGGCATGCTCAATGCTATTTTTGCAACTTTTTTACATGTCTAAAATTGGTCCAAAACAAGGTTTTTAAAAGAAGTTATACCAAAAGGTAAATCAAAATAAGTGGCATCACTTTACCACTCAACTGTGAGGACAAAAACAGAATGTCAAACAAAAGCATGACTTTGCCCCATGAATGTACCTCCCTTCTGTACCCTGCTCATACTGCCCCACTCTCAGCAGACAACAAAGTTAAGAGGCAGACAGCAGAGGAGGACATTACACAAAACTTATTGAGAAAGAGGAGCATGTATAATAACAATTTTTTGAAAGCATGTGTTAGCAAAGAAAACTCAAATTCTATCACAGATGCCATAACTTTCAGGTGAAAAAGAAAGAAATGGAGATGGAAAGAGGAAGTGAGAGAGAGAAAAAAGGTTATACCTATTTGCCAAGAAGAGTCTTTACAATATTTTTGTTTGTGTAGATGATAGGGTACTTATTTGTGAAAATGGTTAGAATTTAAAACTTTATCAATACCTTCACAATGTGTGACTTTAGTCTTTTAAAACATTACATTGATAAATTAATCTATAAAAAGTCAAAGTCAACTTTCGCTTTTGCTTTTTATCTGAAGTATATTTTTCAAGTCTCAATACAGTCTTAGGACTTTAAGCTCACACTTTACAGAAAGGATGCCTTATATACTCCAGTTTTAATATTATTTCAGCATACCAAGAATATAACATACAAGAAATGCTCCAATGAATTAATCTAACAAAAAGGTATAAAGAATCCAGGTCACTCAGAGGAGGACAACAGTTCAATAGAATGTAAAGAAGGTTTCTGGAGTAGAACAGCCCTGAGAGTAAACCTCAGTTCTGTGATTTACTGGGTGCTGGACTCTAATCAAGTTCTACAACTTCTGTGAACTTTATTTTGACAACAAAATAACAAAAGGATCACTTAAAGTACTGTAACAGATTAATTTAGAATTATACACAAAATGGTTGGCTTAAGGCAAATCACTTCGTAAATATTAGCTCCTTCCACTCTTCTCTATTTCATTGCTAAAGAGGTGTTCTCTGATAAACATACCGATTGAAGTTAATGTCTGGATAACTAGAATACTCCGATTTCATTTTAGCATTTCGCCGTGGAAATGTGCAGAAGAAAGCATTAGCTAAAAGACTGGCGATCTGTTCCTGTGACATTGTGATGGAATGATTCATCTTCTGCTTCAGGAGTGGTATTGGCTGAGAGAGGAAACAAAAAATACAGACAAGAAGAGCAATAATTAGTTTAGCAATTTCAAAAGCAGAGGCACCAAATTGCATTTGCTAAATTAGCACAGGAATAATTTCAGGCCACTCTTGAATCCTTAAATCAACAATACTGCTGAAGTCAAGAGCAGTTTATCAAGGATGGTTGGAAAAATGACTTATTTGACAAACAGCAGATTTCTAATCAATAATAACGATAGTGAAGAGTACACAAACATTTCTTATTAGTGGAAAACAACATTTGCTTTATCAAGTAAGAAATAAAAATACATTATGTACTTTATAAACGAAGAAACAGAAAAATGCAATGCTATGCTAAATTTTGTTTTCATATTTATTAAAGACAGTTGGAGAGAGTAATTTTTCAGCTTTAGTCCTAAATAAAATAATTCAATAAGGAAGTCTTTTCCTTGAAATTCTGAATCACACTTTACAATTTCTTTGTGAAACCCAAATCTGATTTTATTAAAGCAAGTAATGGAACATGTGTACACATGTGTAAATAAAGTTATGTGTAATTTGTAAAAAAAAAAAAAATAGGCAATTCCTACATAATCATTCCAAGTCAAAGAAATAAAGAATATTTTTCTTTCAAATTTTTTATGCTGAAATGTGTTCAAGTGGTACCAAACCCAAATTCAGTATTTTTTTTTTCTTTTTTTTTTTTTTTAATAGAGGCATGATTTATTTATTAATTTATTTGTTTGTTTGTACAAGCACTGGGTACAGTCAGAAGCGCAGGAGGGTGAGAGAATTCACCAGAGCCAGAGCAGGGAGCAGAGCAGGCAGAAGGACAGAAGTACACTGCTGAGGGGAGCAGCGGGCGGCAGGGGAGGTCTGCGCGCCATGTGGGACCCTCCTCTGGTGGCCGGGGAGCAGCCGGGTATCGAACCGGTGCCGCAGAGACCGCAGGCAGCTTCGCAACCCAGTGCTCAACCACTGCGCCACCGGGGAGGCCCCCAAATTCAGTATTTTTATTTTCAGTATAATCCACAGAAGCTGAGGTTGTGTGGAATGGGTTTTATATAAACTATATGTTTTTAGACATGATGGTAAACCCAAAGACTGATTATACATCCATTAGTTAAGTTTCAAAGTGCTTCAACATATTAGAGATGCTTTTTCTTGTTCCTTTCAATAAGACCCAGAACTAAAATCCTGAATGTGTCTGCATTAATCTCAAACCAGTAGGCATCGAGAACTGTCCTGATTCTCTCTCAGGAATCATAATGAAAAAGAGGAAATGAAAGCAAAAAAAAAAAAGGCAATTCTGTGAATTCTTTTTTCTAAGTAACAGAAAATACACATCATTGCTAGAATAAGAATATGCTAGAAAAAGTTAACCTTGCATTTCAACTATTTCTCTTAGAAAAACACAAAGGTAAACAAACAAGGGAAAGGGAAAGAATATATTTTCGCTACAATATCAAAATTCTCTCTTTTTTTAGCCTTAGGAAACACCATTCCTAAGAATGAGGAAATGGAGCTCCCATTGATTTCCATTTCCCATTCCACCCATTTAATTACAACTAAGCAATGAGTTTAGGAAAGGTGACAATGTGTCAATGATTTAAAGCAATTGTTACTTGGTTTTAGTAACAAATCAGTTTTTAATTCATTTACTATTTACTAAGGTATCCACAAAAATTAATGGTGATTTTAAGTTTAAGGGACTTCTAAATACAAACATTTCTTATTTACAAATTCTATGATATTCCTCTCTTCTAATTTTCCTCTTCTTTGAGTACAGGTTAGATTTAGTGGCTAACTTCTAACAAATAGAAAAATAGCACATATGATTATGATTGCCTTCAGAAACCAGGTCAAAAAAGACATCACTACTTCTTTTCTTTCCCGGTTGCTTATTCAGGGGAAGTTAGCAACAATGACATCAGGGCAACAAATAAGCTGTGAAGGAGCCCATGGCAAGAAACTGAGGTCTCTATCAATACCCATGTAAGTGAGCCAACTTAGAAGTGGCTCTTCCAGTCTCAGTCAAATCTTCAGACGACTGCTTCCCTGATGACATCCTAACTGCAACCATAAAAGACCCTGAGCCAGAACACTCAGCTAAACTCCTGAATTTCCGCCAGGCAGAAACTCTAAGACAATAAATGTTTGTTGTTTTAAGTCACTAAATTTATAGGTAACTTGTTATGTAGCAATAAATAATTAATATACTACAAACAAAATGAAATAACATTGGTCTTTTATTTTTAAAAGTTAAAGTTCTGTGAGCTCGTTTATTATACAATATACAATTATGGGGAAAGGGGAGAAAGAAGTGGGCTATTTTGAACACAAAATGTTCTAAATCCACTAAGTTTTGAAATAATGACAATTTTTTTTAGAGAGATTGCATAAATAAAAAGAGAAAGATAAGTCTGAGTAAGCACATGTCAACAGTGTAAACTGAAGCTCCGAAATTGAATGCTGCATTTTTAATGTCCTTTTGCAGCACTCTCTCTAGCCTATAACCTCTTCCTTAGTGTAGTAAAATCATCACATGCAGTAAAATCATCACTTCTCTTCTCTAACCTGGACCATCAGAGTTTAAAGGAAATTCAACTGTGAATCTCAAGAAAGCTATTAAGGAAGACGTTATTTCCACCAACCTGTGTGCAAATATCTGGCAGACAGAGTGCAATTTTCACCATATCAGGCAAAATGGACTGATATAAATGTTGAGCTTCTGCTTCTTCAAGAACCTAAAAACCAATAAAATGTGTTATCAGTGAACAATAACGAATGAGCAAATGTTTTTTTACGAAATTAAAATATATATCTGCTTTTCATTGGATCTCAGAAGGCACATTATTAGCATAATCAGACACATGTAAATAAATGTACAAAAGTACACTAATGAAATTAAAAATATATCCAAATGTATGGAATCACCTAATGCCCTCTAAAAACAAATGATCACAAATATCAAACACTTCTCATATAAGCATTTACAATTAAATAAAACACCTGCAAATGAAAAACAGTACATGCTGCTTGGTTTTATTGATTAAAAACTGCTAGACACAAGGACTCTCAGAAGTCCAAGGAGCCATCGAGCTTTAACAGTATATTATTTGAAGAAATCACCATAAAAGTAACACTAATTATTTCAGAGCATATTCTAGGTTTCTGGCGACCGTAGAATTTTCCCTTTCTAGGTACCCACAGGACACGAAAACTACAATTCCCATGTCATAATTTGAAATAGAACAAAGACAACATTCAGTGCCCGTTTTTGCTTTTTTAATTCCCCATCTTTATAAGGCTTTAGAAAATACTTAAATCCTTTTAATCCAATTTCTCTCTAAACATCAGTATATTTCTTTAAAAGCATTAAAAATAAAGATAATAGAGGCACTACATATACAGTCAATGTTAAAGTAAACCATTTATTTACTTGAAATCACATTTAAACTAAATAATTCTAAATTATAATCCAGTCTTATCATGTCATAATTAACAAAGAAAAGAAAACTGAGGTCAAGGATACAGATACCTGGTCATCCCAGATTGAGAAGGTTAATTAGCAACGAAACCCAATCTAGAACCAAAGAGTCCATGCCTCAACTCCATGGCTCTCCCCACTTCCCTAGTGACCAACGTTTGGGATTGATGAGAATACTATTTATAAATTTCCTTTTTTTAATCAAGTGCTAAGTTGAAATAAAGGAATATTCATTGGTCTATCTGCAGCTGGATAGTGTTATGTGCAAATTTAAAAAGTAACAAAGGTAATATATATTCATTCTGTATTTAAAAGCAAACTGTAACGTTAAGAATTTTTTTAATCTAAAGCTCTAAAATTTAACCCATGCTTACTTCCCTCTCTAAATCAGGATCATGAGAAAACTAATGTTCAGAATGAACAGAAAGATATTTGCAATTAGGGAGTTTGGGGTTCAATTAATCATAGGCTTTTAGAAAACTGAGCAACTGAACAACACAAGGCAACTGTTATGCTGGGGAAAACAAAAACTGGAAAAGCATTCATGTCTCAAATATGAATGGTGTTTATTCCTACTAAAATACAGAATATTAATCTAAGTGAAATGAATATAACTATAGTGGGAAAATGGAAAAGCAGAAAAAAAAGCTATGTTACTGGTCATGGGGGAAGTGAATGATAGCTAAATCTTAATCTTTCATAATGGCAAGTTAACACTAAAAAAAAAGCTCAAATTCAACATAGTTACATGGCTGCCTCTTTCTTATAAACTCTACTAAGAATAAAACTCTTTATTTTTTTAATATTTATTTATTTATTTATACAAGCATTGGGTACAGTCAGAAGCGCGGGAGGGTGAGAGAATTCACCAGAGCCAGAGCTGAGAGCAGAACAGGCAGAAGGACCGAAGCATACTGCTGAGGGAGCAGCGGGCGTGGCAGGAGAGGTCTGCTTGCCATGTGGGACCCTCGCCTGGTGGCCAGGGATCGAACCGGTGCTGCAGAGGCTGCGGGCAGTTTTGCAGCCCAGCGCTCAACCACTGCGCCACCGGGGAAGCCCAAGAATAAAACTCTTAACTCTTCTAAGAATAAAAGCTAAATTAAAAAAAAAATACATCCACGGGTTTTCTACTTTTTTAGAGGTACATATTAAAGATGTAAGTCTTCCTGTACCTGAAAATGCATACATTAATCCATTTGTTTAAAAAAGTCAAATTCTACTTACTTGTAATGTATTTGTTATTTTTTTAAATAATTACAGATTCATGGAAAGGTGCAAATATAGTACAGAGAAGTTCAGTTTGCCCTTCACCCAGTTTCCCTTAATGGTTACATTTTATATAACTACAGCACAAGATCAACACCAGGAAATTGCTAGTGGTTAAGTGCAGTGTGTGGTTCTGTTATTTTATGATGAGTACATTTGTGTAACCACTACCAACATCAAGATATAGAAATGTTCTACTACAACAAAGATCTCCCGTTACTTGTTTATAGTCATACCCTCCTTCCTCCAACTATTCTTAACCCTGAACAATTAATCTATTTTTCATGTCTATAATTTTGTCATATTAAAGAAATAAAATCATACTTTACACATCCTTTCAAGATTGATGTTTTTTAACCCAGTCCTTGAGATCTGTGCAGTTGATGCAAGTATCAATAGTTAATCCTTGAATAGTATTCCATGGTATTAATATACCACAGTTTATTAACTATTTACCGACAGGGGCATTTTGATTATTTTCAGGTTGTAGCTATTACAAATAAAGTTGCTACTTTCAAACTATATCATTATGTCCAAAATGGATTTCTTATCAATAACATATAATGTGTTAAAATTCACTCTTAAAATCACTGTATTTTAGATGAATCTAAACCATCTGCATTTAATCAATGATATGTTAGGACAGTTATTTCAATTTTTAATTGTGATTTATCTGTCTTCTCCCTTTTCTCATGTGGGGGGAAACTTGAACATATTTTAGAATTTCATTTTCATTTATCTAAAGTGGTTTTGACAGTACAAAACAAAACAAAGCAAAAACGGACAATTATAAATGTCAGAATGGGGCGTTTGCAATTGTATGGGGGAATATAAAAATAAAATTTAATATTTAAAAAAAAAAAAAAATAAAGTATGTAGACAATACAGAAACATGCTGTAATGCAACCATCCTGCACCGGGTAGGTTCAGCACCCGTTCAAGCAGTGGTGTTGGTGTTTTAGCTTTTTCATGTTTCCTTCAGGATGGTAACAAAATATCATTTTTTAGGAAACTTCTAGGAGGAATTTATAGTAATTATTTTATATTCTTGGGACATTAAAATATAGTCACCTCTTGAGTGGATTAAATAGATTAGGAAGTAATTTTCTAAATCTAATTTGAAATACTTTAGCTTGAATATTTAATAGAATGTAAACTTTACTACCAGGCTTTTGTATTTTGTTTTGAAAATAAAATTAGAACTCATAAAAAAAAAAAAAAAATGAACAATGATGTAAAAAAAATTAAAAAATATTTACTTTAAAAAAAGTGGTTTCGAGTAATATCCCTTGAAGAGATTTTTTTTTCAACTGATCTAGGCATTATATTACATATAATCATCACTGTTTCCTGATATCAACATTTTACCAGTTCTAGTAAGCTATAGAAACTTTCCTTTAAATCCCTCACACGCCACCATTATTGACTGTTTTCAATATTTCCAAACGTACACTGACAACCACATTTAACAGTGCTATGATTTTTTAAAACACTGAAAGAGAAAATGTCAAACACAATTTAGAATACTCAAGATGCAGTCTATTATAGTTACTATATTTTTACTCTTTCTGGTGTTCTTCCTCCGTCATATTCCCATATTCCATCTTTCATCATTTCAAGAAATTTCTTTAGACTTGTTATTTTAAAGGATAAGTCTACTAATATTAAAATTCTCTTTTTTCATTCACCTGAGAATGTCATGGTTCCCTTTTTATTCCTCAAGAACAAGTTCACTAAATATAAATTCTGAGTTGACTGATCTATTGTTAGTCCTTCAAAAATACAGTTATCATTTCTTTTTAGCTCCATGTTTTCTGATGAGAACTCCACTGTCACTCAAAGGTCTTTTCCCCTATAAGCAATGTATCATTTCTCCCTTGATGCGTTCAAGTTATTTTCTTTGCTTTTTGTTTTAAAGAGTTTGACCAAATGTCTTTGCAGAGATTTCTTTCAGTTTATCCTATTTGGTGTTCACTGAGCTTCTTGAAGTTGTCAAACATTCTTTGGTCAAATGTGGGAAATTTCCAGGTATTATTTCTAGTTTTGTCACAGTTTCTTTGAGTATTTTTTCAGCCTTGCCCTCTTTCTCCTCTCTCTTTAGTACTAAAATGACAATTTTGTTATAGCCCCACAGATTTCAAACTGCTCATTTCTTGAGTCTATTTTCTTTCCATTGTTCAGACTGAATAATTCTGTTGTTCTTTTGAGCCCATCCATTATATTTTTTATATTTTTCAACAGAAAAATTTCCATTTTGGGGTAGAGGGAGTCAGTGTGATATTACAGTGGCATTGGGGCTTTGGTGGTGGGCAAGTAAAGCATGTGCACACATCAAAGTGTGAAGCTATACTCTTGAAATTATAGTTTTGTAAGTGAAAGCAAATTTTGGCTTAAAAATAACACTCAAGTCCACAGTGTATTTAAAAACAGTCACAAGAAATTTATGAAGGATTTCAAGAATGAAAAAAAATCCATTTAATTTTTCTTTATAGCTTGTTTTTTTGCTACTGTCATTTTTTTCATTTGTTTCTAGCAGCTTGTAATTGTTCACTGAAGTCTTTTTGTGGCTTAAAATCCTTCTCAGGTAATCCTAACATCTCTGTTATCTCGGGGTTGGTATCTATTGATTATCTTTTCTTATTTCAGTTGGTATTTTCTTGATTCTTAGTGATGATTTTTTAATTGAAATCTGGTTATTTGAGGTACTAGATTATGAGACTAGATCTTACTTAAATCTTGTTTAGGCATGTCTTCTATGACAGAGGAAGGGGAAGTGACCTCACACTACCGATTGAAAGTAGAAACTTAGATCTTCTACTGGACCTTAGTTCACTCTCAAGGTAGGGAGAAGAGGCATCTTGAAATTATGGGAAAAGGGTGAGGATTCAGAGTCCCCAGGAGACCTCTGCTGATATCACCCTGGGGCCACCTCTTTCCTACAGATTCTTTCAGAATTCTTTTCAGAATCTTCTTACATCGTAGATAATGTTC